GAGGTCAGCCCGTGGGCATCAATGACGAACTCCCCCTTACAGGTGTACTCTATTATTTTGTCCCGATCTAATAAATCTAGGACGAAGAGAGCTATTGGTATATACATAAAAACACCAGGCCCATTTATTATCTCTTATGCTTGAACCTTGGCAGCAGCCCCGACCTCGATCTCACTATATTTACCTCTTGCTTTTGGACGCAAAGGAACAATAGCTTCCATTCTTTTATAAAGTTCAGGCAATCGGCAAATAATTTTTTATTGGGCCGAGCTGTTATGTTATACTACCTCTTATCGTTGGGGTACTTTTTAATGAAAAAAAATTCCCTGAATAGAGGGAGAGTGGAAAGAACATTTAGATGTTGACAAAGAATGATAAAGCCTACTACATACTGTTAAATTGTAATAACTAAAAACTGAAACAAATAAATAATGAAGTGAAAACTTAAGACCGACCACGAATGAATCCCAATATATATAGAGCCGATGTGGTTGTAGTTTATCAGTGACTCGATCTGAAGAGTTCGGCATTAATATGCTATACCTCTCTTTGGGAAAATGGAAAGTCATCTCCAGAGCACGAACATGATAAGTTGAACACATGTTAGGACAGTCCTAAAGATTAGCCATGCCCTTTAGTTCCCTCATCACGTCCTTGGGGATAATATCGAGGTCACAAGGAGTATATACAGGAACCTTGACCAACTCATCTTGCTCCGTAGGATTTCCCTCCTCGTCGTCACTTTCCCCAACCGAGGTACTCCTTTCCCCGTGTTCTTCCTCAAAACCCCCTCATTGTCAAAATCTTCACCGCCAAAAGACTGACTCCTAAGCATACCAAAGACATAATTGAAAGTACGTACAGAAGAAAGCAGAGAAAACAAGTGATAAAAAGAATAACCCTAAGACTAGAAAGCTTTTAAAATCAAGAAATTTAGATCAGACGAAAAGCAAAGAAAGTATAAAGGTGAAAATAAAAGCCTAACAGCCCTTTATATAGCCACTCCTTAGATCAAATGAATGGCACAAACTATGCCGCGTGTCAGAGCGAAGATGGGAAGACGTCTTTTCATCTTCCCTATTTAAATTTTCCTGTTCAAACTACCTCTTTCCTCATTTAATGCCATCAAACTGGCCAAACCAGATGGATCCTAGGTCAGACCAGCCAAACCAGACGACTCCACCGGACAGACTAAATGTTAGGTTCGTCGTCAAAGTTCAAAATAGAGACTCGAATCCAAACTCTTGAAATAAAACACAAAGTCTCACGTCAACCAGATAAACTCCAACACTAATATCGGATCACCTCGAACAATTAACCCCTTGGCGACCTTAAAGCTGGTTATGCACTTAACTCAAGACATACGTGCAAGATCAGACCCCCCACAAGGTTGGACCATCACTTAATGCTAATTGTCTTCCAATGCCGACCTCCACTGTGACATCAGCTGCAAAGATTCAAATTCCATGTCATCCTCCTTTACTTATCTGGCCTGCATAGAATGTATTGACCGCACATCTAACAATCTAATATTCAGATTGCTTAAGGGGGGACAGAATGTTAAGGGCATTTGATGGTTAAAAGGATATAGTATTCCTCATTAGAAGCCTTCTACAGATAGCCAAGGGTAATTCCGACATTTGTGCCGATCTAACTTGACATACTCAGTGCCACATCAACTCAACCGTATCTTTATTGTCCCCCAATGGTCCCATATCTTTCATCTATAAATATAAAATGTCTAGGCATTATTAAGGCAAGTTCAACCTACTCCTAATTCTCCTCACTACTCTTCTTCCAACCTCACTCATTCTAACTTGTGCGTCGAAATGCAAACGCAGGGAACACTCCCTGCCTTTGTCTCTAACCGTCTTTCTCTTCTATCTTTCCAAGAATGCCCTAAGATCGGAGCTTGGCACAAACAAAATCATTCAAAAACTTAAGTGACCCAAGGACACCGTTTGGTCATCATTAACCATCAACTGCAACCAGCTAAATAAATAAATAAATTGGAAAATTTCCTAACACCTATCTAACTTTTTTTTTTTCCACATAGCAAGGAAATAGGTGTTACAGATTGCTACTTCTCCTGCTACCAGTAATAAGAAATGAATCAGCTGTACTTACCTAATGCCAGCTCTGGATCATCAGCAGCTGCATCTGACAAAAATGTATCCTGTAAATCATGGCTAGAGGCAGGCTCATCCATAGACATTGCAAGAGCCTGCAGTAGTAAAGCATTGTCATCATCCTGCAAACAACTCAAGGTCAGATGTGTCTCAACATGAAAGAATATGTAAGGCCCAACCATGTTTTTCATGAAACAATTGTCCTGCTTGAACAGCGATCCTATCAAACCAAGTAATAATGAGACACAAAAGTGATACTAGCCTTTTACAAATATCTGCCAAAGGATCACTAACCATTTAACATTAGACCACCAACATCAAAAAAGAAAAGATAAATTAAATGGGAAGCTAATCATACTAACTGATAAATCATTTCTCTTATTTTCAGCTTCTGAAGTTCCCCCATTGGCATGTTCAGTCATTGTTGCATCCCGTGAACTAGATTGTTCTTCCCCACCCTTTTCTTGTTTAGATGCCTCCTCTGCTGCTTTTTTAGCAGCCGCTTCTTGCCTGGCCCTCTCCTCTTCCATTGAAACTCTCAAAGCAAGGGCCAATTCAGGATCAAGGTTGGGATCCACAACAAACTCAAAACCAGAGATGCCACTAGCTGCAACTGCTGCTGCCGCAGCTGCAAAACCACTTCCACCTTCCCCGTCCCCAGTGAAGATGGGAGTGCTGCCAATGATACAAGAAATATCCAGCTTCAGCAATAAAATCACAATTATGAAAGACATTAACACGCAGGAAAGAGAAAACACCCAAACCACTAACCTTAGAAGTACATCACATCGGAGAGAGCATTAGGACCAGCAGGAACATGAATAATGTGACTGGTATCATTATTGTTAACTGCAACAAGAAGCGCTTCCAGCTTCTCTGTCTTCCCTTCATCATCTTCACCAAAATTTATAATATCAAGACCTACACTATTCTTTTTCAACTTCCTTCCGATCATCTCCAATGACTTCTTGTCATGTTTGATAGGACTGCAAGCATCATAACGCATCAGAACCACAAACATAGAAAAGAAAGCATTGCCCAATTAACAGACGAGCAATAACAAAAACACACCTTCCAGCAAAGACAATAATCCTTTGCTGCTGCTTTTTATTTTGGCGATGCTTAAGTGCTAACTGAGCCACTTGAATCCCAGCTGCCAAGTTCATTTCACCACCTATTTCTAAGCCTAAATTAGGATAAACAAAAGTTCCAAATTTAGCATCTTTTAAAATATGATACAACGTTAAGAGAATTAGAATCTAAGCCTAAAGCAAGTTAAGAAACGAACCGTGCATGCAAGCTAAGATTTTGCCAAGATTAGGAGTGACCAAAACACGAACCCCTTTTCCTGCCATTGTTAAAATCCCCACTGTATTCTCTGGATTGGACTGTCAAATCAAAACCTCCAATCAAAATCAAAGCTTTAGCATTTCCCAAAATCAACTAAACCCTAAAATGAACGTGCAATGAAAAACACATCACGTTTTTTAAAAAATTCAAATTCTTTTCTTTTATTTTCAATGAAAGAAAGATAAAATATTTTTTTTCTTTTTTTTTATCCCGTTTACCTGAGTTTTAGCTCAGCAAATAAGATTAACAGCATCAGCTTGAGCTTGAAATCTAGAAGGAGAGTAATCACCGTTTCGCATCCACTCCGAATTATCAATACAGATCATTGTTGCCTGTTAAGTGTACAAAAATTAGGATCAAAACAATTGAATTGTGAGGAAATTGAAAACCATAGAATTAGAAGAAGAAATGGGAATTGAGATTTTGCTTTACCTCAAGCACCATGGTTAAACGATGGCAAAGAGAAACGAAGGATAGAGAGACAGAGAAGAATTTGGGCGGCTCAAGCTTAATGGTTTACTTGAACTTGGAGTAGACTGATTACTGATTACTGATTACTGATTTTAAAAACGACGAAGTTTTGATTTGAACAACAGCTGCCTTGTAAAGTTACGCTGTGAAAAAAAAATAAAAAGAGCTTTAAGCCAATGAAACATTGCCACGAGTAAGAAAAAAAAGTAGGTCCTACGGAACTGACGACGTCGTTCATTTAAATGCAACTGAAAGTGAAGTACTAAAGGTGTTTATAAATCGGTCGGTAACGCTACTAAATTAATAATTTATATATTTATTTAGATTTAATTTGATCTAATATTATAAATTTTAAAATTTTTTAAAGTTTGATTTAAATTAAAAAATAAATTTTAAATTTATTTATTAAACATAATTTATAAAATAAAAATTAAATAAAATATAAAAATTAAAATTTACATATATTTTTATATAATTATAATATTTTAATTATATATATTATTCAAATATAATCGAATTAGATTCAAATTTTAATTTTTTTATTAAAGATTTAAGATTCGACTTAAAATTTAAATGAATCTATAAATTATATTCGAATTTGTTTAATAGACTGTAATTTTTTATTTAAATTTTTTTAAAATTTAAATAAATCTTTGAATTTAGATAAATAATTCGATTTTTAAATAAATTTAGAAAGGAGTAGAACTATTTTTTAAATGTTTCAAAAAAAAAAATTTATTGGATTTTAGTTTTGTTTGAGAGGGAAAATGAAAACAAGAATGCACAATGGGAAAATTGTTTAGAAGAAAGGAGCAGAAGTAAGTTTTTGATTCTTGTACTTTTTTTTTTTTGCTAAATACTTGCATTCTTATTTATTTTACCTTAACATAATATTTTTTTTATAAAAAAAACAGTACGACGATAAAAAAAAGTTGTATGTGTTGAATAATTGTATTTACATGATCGACAGAAATAAATATCTGAATCAAAACTAGTGATAATGCGAGAGATTGAAAGAAATGTTACACCTTTGATATATAGCCCCCTAGATTAAGGTTTACAACCAGCCTGAAGTAGTTATAGTCTGAATTTCTAGTTTACAACTCTAACAGGACACAAACAAGATTATTGCACTTGGAAGTTTTGATCTTTTTTTTTTCCTTCAACCTGAAGAACTAAAATAACGTCGAGGTTCAATGAAACGAATTTCATCTTCAACATCAGATTTGTCATCATTGTCATGGGCATCCATATCATAATTAGAGCAGTAATCCTCAAGGTAAAAGCTGAGTGGAGCCTTCAACTTCTTCTTGCCTCTAGGTGATGACGATTCGTGTATCGATTTCTCTGTTGGAGTCCGGTGAACTGTGCTGCTTGAGGCTACGCTGTAGGCTTTATTCATGTCAGTTCCCATTGAGTCTAAGGATGAGGTTGAGCGGGATTCCCTGAGTAGTGCAACTGAGGAACCTTGCTTTTCCTTCACTCTTCTTTTCCATTTGGATAGTGAATCCCTCACATTTTCAGAAACTACAGCTTTTTTGAACCTTGAACCCATCTACAAGCATAAAAACCAATGTCTGAGGGAGGGAGGGCGGGAGAGAGATGAACAAGAAGAAACATCAATGATCTAACCTGTGTAACTATAACATAGAGTGGGAATGTAATAAAGCTACACCAGCACTGGGAGATAATACTGCATAAACCAGCCATCAAATTCAATATGAGATTCTAGTGGTTGGAGTCAAACAAATTGTTGATGGAAAAGCAGAGAATCAACACTTCGAAAAAATTTAGGACCAAAATCAATACCATGTTATAATGTCACAGTGATATTTTTATCATACCCGAATGCCAAACGAGTCATGAGGAAGCCTTTATTCTCCATGAAGCAAGAAGGATCCTTGATTTCCCACTGAAAGAAGAACTCAGAATCAGCACCATAAATGGCTAGCAGAAATTACTAGTATCATAAGCCACAAAATCAGAAAAGCCTGTCTTGCTCTACCTATATTTTTCTGTAACCGAACAGAATAAAGCAGAAGATAATGAGTGTTTCATCAAAATTTCACACAAGTGTTCTTTTTGTTTTTTTCTAAGTTCAAATTTAAGAAAGTGCTATTTTGCGACTAATAACATTAGAAAAATAATTCAATCATGAATTTCCATAACTTGTCTATTTGTAGCTGGATAAAGTCCCAGAACACAAAGCTAGGATATTGAAAAGCCATTCTGCAGCCTGATACTCAAAATTTTCTCTATGAAATGGGTTGAAAAATCTGCCAGCAGTATGATTACAGATTCACTTTCGTAGAATATTTCTGAACTACATCTAAAGATATGCTCTATATGTCAAATGAGCGTAACGACATAAATCTTACCAGTGACCAAAGGAATGAAGCCATCTCAAAAGCATTCTGCGAGAGAAATGTATGTTAATAGATAAACTCAATTCAACAATGCAATTGAAAGCCACATAAAATGTTATGATCACTTCACTTACTTGAAATGAAATAAGTTGTATCAACAATAAAATAAACCTGGGTCTCCCAAACCAAAAGAGTTCATCCCTCAGGTTAAACTGATGAAAACCATCCAATGGATTGTGCTCCATGATTTCAACAGCTAATTTTACCACCACACGGTGCAGTTTTGTACCAATTACCAGTATCAACTTTTATGTACGTCAACAATATGGAAGAACAAGAAAAATGAAGAAAATCAGCAAAGTGTAAGTTGTGACTTGTTAGTCTATATAATAGTTAGAATCCCAATGCAATGATGAAGACGTACAATGGCCGGAAGGAACGAAAGCCAAAAGTAAATATTGGTTCCTGACAAAAGAATATCAATCCTTTAGGAGTTGAATTCAGGACAATATCAAGCAAGAAATATTTATAGTGATTAATGCGAAAGGGATGCATGTATGCATGAACAGAATTGCAATGTTTCTGAAGCCATTACAATAAATGGTCAATTACAGAAGCAGCTAGCTGTTAGCATATAAACAAAAAGTGGAAATTAGAGAAGTGTAATTTAGTTGAGGTCTAATTCAATTTCAGTTAATGTCTCAAGGAGCCATTCAATTTCCATGGATGTCCAAAAAACCTCAATGGACAGGAAAATTATCCTCATGACAATTTCATTTTACCGGTTTTAGCTTCAAAAAGTCTGAGAAACTTAAAAGCACAACTGTAGGCAGCTAAAATGGTGTCTTAGCCTACATGCATCAGCAGAGAGCAAACACCACAACAGCTTAGGCTAAGCTAATATATTGGGTGGCTGCTTGATGTGGAACCTGCAAAGTATATCTAACCTGTATATGTATTAGTTTGTCAGAAAACACAGAAAATTACCATGGAAATCAAGAAAGACACATAGTATGCAATAAATCCAGAAGGGCACACTGCAAAAGAAATCAAAATATAACCAAATCAATCAGCTGCTATAGAAGGAGAAAAACCAATATGAATCACACTTCTATTTTATGTAGAACTATTACTATAGCAGTCATAAGGACACTATCTTAATTTCTTGACATAAGGTTAATTCCATAACTTCAAAATAGTTACCGATGCACATAACACAGTAGATACAGTACCTAATGCCAACAATATCGCGAAATTCTTCTTCCATGCTTCGAACCATATAATTGTGGAAATCATACGTCAAAGGAAGTTGATGAGTCTAAGAAGAATACAAATAAAATGGACATTAGTAATTCACTATCCAAATCTAACCATATGCTAATCTCTTCACACTCAATTGGCAAAGTAAATATTTTAAGACAAAACAAAAGTATAGTTTTCCAAGAACAATTATCTGAAACTTTAGAGCTAAATATTTTTCTTTATTAGAGTCCTTCAAACTCCTGTGTGTTCTCCTTTAGATGCATCATCCCGGGAGCCCCCCCTCCTTAAAAGAAAGGAATCCTAAGACGTGAAGATAAAGTTTACAACCGTGGCATATAAAATAGAAAGTTAAATAATATATGCTCACACATCAAGAGATCTAAGGAACAAAACCTCCAGTTGAACCTAATGGACATACAGTAATGAAGCCCAAGCGCAAAGCCATATAGTCAGCTTGGTTTATAGAACTCCAGAATTGGCGGCTGAAGCAAAGCTGCATGATAATATATATTTTGAGTTCAAAATCACGTTAAAGTAAAATGGTACAAAAGGGTGCAGGAATTACAAGAAATAAAAAGGTGGAAAAGAACATTCTTTGAAGCTAAATTTAGTTAGAGGTAATCTGGAGAGATGATCTTGCAAGCACATATCTCTAAGCAACATCATCAAAATAGAAACAAAATTGAAGATAGACGTGGCATAGAGCCAGCAACGTCAAGAAGTATCAAAAGAGTTCATTATATTGACAACAAGAACTGCACATTTTCAATTGCTTTATTCATCTTACAGAGAAATATCAGTCAAGGCTAGGCAATTCTGACATATCTATATCTTGAAACCTCCACTATATCCCGTAAAAAAGAAGGAAAAAAAGGGGCTTTTGTATATTATAATGAAAACCTATAGCAAGTGTGCCAGGTAAAAGATGCAAGATCTCAAGAAGGGATACCATCCAAACAAGAACTCTGTGTTGGCTCCATGGATGGGAGACATGGTGAAAAATAAAAGTAGTTAGTCGCCTCATTTTCAAACCAACTGGTCCAGCTTGTGAGGAATCTAGATTTAAAAGGATAATGTAGTATGGATGAGATTGATACTCTATAAGAATGAAAAGAATCAAAGTCTAGCACGAACTAGAAACGTTTGCACCTTGTAAATGTTGAATAGCCATAGTCTTGGCTTGATTCTCCCACGTTCTCCAGCTATAAATCTGCAAAAACTAGGCTGTAAACTTAGTGCTTTCTTAGCAAATATTAAGACCAAAATTAAGGTGCATATTGGGATTTGTATCATTAAGGAGATGCATCAACCTTAATCATCGCCAATGCGATGGCAATAAAGCTGTAAGAAACATGGGTGACTCCAAGCACAAATATGAAATTGTGAAGCTGCTCGAGGCTTTCATGTGAAGCAAAAGAATCCTTACCCTGGAAAGAAAATTACAGATTGTGAAGAACTCCTTGAAACTGTAAATTTAAAGTGATATTCAATGGACAAAAGATTTAACAGGGTATGAAAACAGAATAATAAAACGTATTACTTAGCAAACAAAGCATCAAAGTGTCCAAGCATCTCACAATTTAAAGCAAATGGCAGGAAGTGAGGGTACCTCAGGACAATAGCCATTCCACCTGGTAGTCTGTTGCGCTCTGGAAACCGTGTTGTTCAAGTATTTCGAACTTGAAACAATCATGTGTTCTGACATTAATCGATCACCAACCTTTGCGCAAGGATAGAACTGGCTATTCAAGCTCGATGATTTGACGCAAATTTTGGCGAAAAATGCAATCCAATGACCCATCAACAACGAGAGAACCCCGAAGAGCATCAATTCTGCTCACAGATAAGATTGATATAATGAGGCCAAAATAATTCTGCTTGTCACAACTCACAACAAAGACTTCAACAAAATCAATCTCAAACCAATTTTACCATCTTTAATCTTCTCCAAGGCTGCTAGCAGAGATTTTCGCTTAGTCTTGTCCAACCACTATAAATTGAAAAAAGATGGAGATGCAAATACATTAAAAACATTCAAGCATGGAGGCTGGAGGCTTCAGATTCATGAGAGATCAGAGAATAAAAAACAGGTGACATTGCCTTTACCTCCCCAAACTTTTTCAAAGAGTGATGAACCAGGAAACCAAAAAAAACCATTAAAGTGACCACAGTAGCAACAGCCCAAGTTGGGGTTTCTTCCAAGGATTTCCCTTCTCTGAACTCTCCGCTCTCCATTGCTATCCCCAAAAAAGCTAATCAAATTCTGCTTTCAGGGCATTGAGTATATGGACCAACAGACCTGAAGCAGACATGGAAAAACAAGACTCAAATCGCCTTTTCAATTAATAGCAGAGATTTGCTGGTGGGGTTATGGTTGTGCCATAAAATTGTGACCAATCCAGCTGAAGTGAATTTAAGAACACATGCATTGGTCGTTGAACTTGTTTACAAGCCTGTTCAACGGCTTGGGCCCCAGCAACCGAGATCGTCACCAGTTAGGATTTGAACATTTGGAAAGTGCAGCGTTGTCTTTTCATTAATAGCATTTTCTAATAGAAGTTTGAGTCTTTTACATGTCATGATTCATGATCAATGCATAAGCATTTCCAAATATCATAAAAAAATTGGAAATCGTGATTTGGACCCTTTTTTTGCACAGATTCAGAAAGTATTCACTTCATTTTATGATGTTTTCGGACTGCCATGACCATGTGTATTGATGGCACGTTCTAATTCTATTGAGCAAAAGAGAAAGACGAGATTGAAAATTATTAAAAATAGAAAAGCATCATGATTTCCATACTAGTTTTATGATATCAATATAACGTAAAAACTTTCAGGGAATCAGACCCAAAAAAATAGACATTACAGGAAATATTCTTTTGTGAAACAGTGCTCAGTTACATTCTTAAGATGGGCAGTCTTTGTTTGATACTGACTACTACATTTGTTTATATTTGATTCGAATGTAGACCGTCAGTATTTTTATCTGTACTTAGTTGTTTTGCTGATCATGAAATCATCCTATGATAATTAGATGGATTGCTGATTGATTTAAACTGATCATGCTCATAAAGTGGCTTAATTCACCACACAAGCCTTACCCTCACAAATGTCTCTTGAATTTTGACACAATCGCAAAAAAAAAAAAAAAGGGGGAAGGGAAATTCAACTATATTCATTATTGCACCCGAGCATTTATTTTGTTTCAGTGGTTTAGAAAGAAGCCAAGGGAAGCATTAATTTGCAGCCAATATATAACCGCAAAACAAGGTTTTCATAAATAATTTAACACTGGGCTGCAAACTAAACAGGATTCAAATCCAAACAGTCATACACAGAGAAGGGCAAACAACAACAAATTTGCTTTTCGCCGGTTGAAATTACACGTGGGATTTATTTGTTATTAGAATTGCTGCTACATAAACAAGATGACAATCAATCACAGCTCTTCTCTTGGCTCCTCTTCCACTTTTGCAGGCTCCTGCACCTTTATGGGCTCCTCTATTTTTAGAGGAAAACCATTCTCTATCCAAGCAAAATAACCTCCTCCCATGTTGCTTACATTCTTAAAGCCCTGCAACATCATTTAGTACAGTTGATTGGGTTAGATCTGGGCTTAAGGACTTGGAAGTTCTGTCTAAAAGTTAAAATTGAATATAAACTCACGATTGAAAGAAGATCAGCAGTTGCATTAAGGGATCTCACGCCACATTGGCAGCCCTGTAAGAAAAAGGACTTAGCCCACTTTCAACTCCCATAGTGTCTTTATAGAGAGAAAGGAAATTGATAGTTTCAAAATTACCACTACGAGAGGATCGTCTTCCTTGCAAAGAGATGAAACCTCCTTCAAGAAATCAGGATTTTTCTCCATACCTGAAGTTCAAAATCAGCATTACTACACTTCACTAATTCCAAAAACAGATTAATACTGTAGAAACGACAGACTTAAAGGATAAAAAAACAAGCTTTTAGTAAAGTTAGACCTTCTGGTGTGAAGAACACGTATGGAATGTTCAGGATCTTCTCCGCATCCACATGTCCCTTGTTGTACTCTTCCACTGTCCTGTTATTAGAAATGATACCCAAACACAAGTTCAAGAGTAACTTCAACAAAAAGGAAAAAACCAATAAGTTAAGAACCTGTTAGTGAACAAAGAGTCAAAGAATCCTTTTACCTGACGTCAAGAAAACCATAGCCGGATTGAAGCAAGGTTTTTGCTCCATTAACATCAATGGTAACAACTTCTGATCCTGAGCTGCAAAAGATAAGAAGAAAAAGAAACAAACCACAAGGGAAGACAATCAAAGAAATACCCATGTCAAAGTTCTGCACCAACTATACTTAGAAACCAGATTGCTGTCCTAAACCCAAAATGGGAAAAAGTCACCTTTTATCAAGAGAGCCCCCGGAGGATGCTAAAGTCGCTTGTCATATGTTGGGCTTTGCCGACTTTCTGCCGTTGTTTCTCAAATCCTGCGATTGTTTCCTTTGTTTTTTTTCCCAGGGAAAACCAGGTGAAGATGGAAAAAGTGGGCTGAGATTGCTTTAAGAATACTAATTTGCTTGCCACATATTAGGCTTTGCCGACTTTCTGCCGTTGTTTCTCGGTTCCTGCGGCTGTTTTTTTCCTTGGAAAAAGTGGGCCGAAACTGCTTAAAGTTTACTAGAAGAAATATTATACTCGTTGACCGCTGCTGCTGATTGTCGCCGCACTTTCAACCACTTTCTATGGGATGAAGTAATGATAACGACCTGTATTAACTGCATCAACTCCGATGCCAAATACATGGTGATGTCATCTGAAAAGTTTAAGTGTAACCAAACATCGATCTTTCTGTTAGGACTCGATGTTTTGTTAAGTCGACTCCCACTGATGTTTTGTTTTGTTTATCGTGCTTTTCCAATTCTACGCTTTAAAAAAAGGTGCAACACTAGGATCAACATCCTCCAACCAGGGAGCTTATCTTCATAATTTTGTCGAAATGCTTAAGGGTGGAGAAAAAGGATCACAATAAGCATTTTGAAATTGTATACCTTCCTCTTTTCTCTCATTTTGTCCCTCCAAATCATGCAACAATGGAAAAGCCATCTTGAAACAAGAAGCTTTTTATTATAAAAACAGGCATGACAGACGGCTTCTAAAAATTGCAGCCATTTGGACTAAACCAAGATTCATTTACAGGGATTTCGTCCAGGAAGACTGTTAGGTTTTAGACTTTTTGGTTGAAAATTAGATGCCACGATGACTGTGGATCACTTTGACGCAGGCCAGAACGTTGTTGGAGATCACACTGCACACTGCAACAATTTTACTGACTGCACATTAAAAGGCTACATGAACATCATCCCGAACATTTTGTCCATACTTTGAAGGGACAGAGGAGTAGCTAAAACTTCTGATAGGGATGGCCCTCGCGAGCAGAAGGCACACTGACTGAGACATAACATTTGGAAGAAAACAAAAAGAAAATCGAAGGCATCTGGGGAAAGGGGTTTATATACTTCATATAATCCATTTGAGAGATGTTTACTTCATACCCAATTTGAAAACCAAGCGAAATGATCATGTTCAATTATTGACTCTAAAGCCTGCTGCTCCCCTTGATCTGTCAAGGGAAGAGGAACGTATTTCAGTGATGGTAAGAAGTGTTGGGTCAAGAATCTTATCTCTGCAATTTAGGAAAGAATGTAGATAAAATGTCTTAATGACACGCAACAAAGCTAAAGACTGGCCATTCAAGTAATATTTTCCACCACCAAATGCCATCCTTTCACAATTAGACCAAGTTCTAGCCAAGTAAATATTAACAGGGACATTTCATTCCACTGCTATTTACAACTCTCAACTGCTAGACTAAAAAAAAACTTCCATATCCAAGACTAAGAACTAAGAAGCAAAGCTGGCCTTTCTACAATCTCAAATTGCTAAGAATGAATTGCCTCAGCCAAACCCTGCACAAAAGCTAACAGTAGGCTGGTTTATGCAAGGTTGAGATTCAACACACTTGTCATAAAAAGCATAAGCCTCATGATGCATTTAGCAGAATGTAGGAATCTTATTCATGCTTTTATCATTTACATGTACTTTTTATTTAAATTTGCAAAAATGTCTGATGCTCAACAAGCTACCAAGATTTGTGCAAATAGCCAAATAAAGAGTAATGCTTAGAACTATTCCCCAACCTTCATAAGAAACTTCTATATATGCACTTAGTTAATTGAACGCTCATGGGGCTTAGTATAAATGTAAAATCAGAGAGAATAAGCAATGTTCCAGTATAAAAGTTACCAATCATCAGATCTTCATATCATGACAGACATGGGGGTATGTGCAAAATGTCGCTTCCTTTTGATCTGCAAAGAGCCACCGTAGTAGTCCCTTCAATTTACATATGATTTCACATTTACAATAGGTTAAAGTTCAGACTTTATAAACAATTCCGCTTACAATAAAAATAGACTCATGCCTGTTACAGTGTATGTAACTTTACAATGTGAATATTCAATGAGAAAAATTAAAGCTGCATCACTAAACACAAAACATTCAACTAAAGACTTTGCTCACTAACCTCAGAATATGGAATTTTGGTAGTCATATCAAGTTTGCATACAGGGCAGAAAGTCCCACACTTAGCCATGACTCTACACAGCTTGAATGAAAATCTGCAGGCAACTTTCATGTTGATTAACTGATATCTACACAATAATGCTAGAGTAAGGAAACAAAAACTCAAATAAAAAAAATTGAGGAAACAAGCTTTAAATTTGTAAATCTGTCTGCAAACAACAATACTATCTCTCTTTTCTCACAAATGCTGCCAATAGTACAGTAGAACAAGATTAATTAAATTGTGAAGTCAAAGTAATTTCGAACTAAAATGGTTTAATACATGCATGAAAGCAGAAACAGCAGTGCCTTGATACAACCAATGGTCCATAGCTTTACGCATTAAAAGATTTCGTCCACTTCCTTCTTTCTCATATTCTGAATTTGTGCAAATCTGCACACTCCACATTGAAGAAAATCAACATAAACTAAAACCCAAATATCTTCCACTTTCTACGTTATAAACAAATGACCTCCCCGACTCATGAAAACATCAAGCTAACCTGTAACAGAACAGAGATTCCTTGCATGGAAGGTAAAACAATGATAAAAATTATACACAGTAAACATGCACTGCAAATCTAATATTAAAGGCTAGAGATAAGCCACAGGAGCAAAATCCTACTATGTTGACAAGGGAG